CTCTCTCTCTGGTGAGCACATGCACTCTAGAGCAAAAGCTTCTCTCTCTCTCTTTTTTTTTTTTTTAGTATAGGAATAATTTTATTGTGTAAATATATAGCTTAATGTATTTACATATTTAAAACTAATTTTACATATGTATCTATTTCACATATATACAGATGTGAAATTTTGCAAGCTTAAAACTAAAACTCATGTCATTGAAATTTTAAATTAATATACTGTTTCTTTTAGAATGGTTGACTGTATTGAAATACAAATACAACAAGTAGGAATAGCTTAATGGAAGCCAGAAAAGTAAATTGAAATACAGAGAAATGAACAAAACTTCAAAATATTTAAACTCTTATAATAAATTCTAAGGAGAGTAATTATCAAAAACTAATGTTAAATTTGAAAGATATTAACAGTACTACTAATAAATTATTAACAATATTAGTTATAATAAAACGTTGCTTCATATTATTTTGAAAAACTAATTTTTTTTAAAAAATGACAACATTCTTGTATTTTTACAAGAAGTAAATAGGATTACTGGTCAATAAAAGCTGAAACTATGATAAGATAAATCACAAAGTTAATTTATAAAAATACATTATTACATTTCTAAATTTTAAAATTATGTTACATTGTCCATTTTTTACATTTATGATTTTTGTCTTGATTTTTGATTCATCTTAAATAAATATTAATTTTTGTATTTACTATCATTTGAAAGTCTCTTCTGATGCTCATATGTTGAAATTTAATTGCTGAGACATTCTCACTCTCTCTCTATGTCTGTCTGGCGAGCACACGCGACCTATAGTGAAAACCTCTCAAAAAAAAAAAAAAAAAGAAAGAAAAGAATATTTTCCTCCCACGCAGTATTTTCCACTGCTTACACCTACTCTTTCTCCTGGTAGTTATTCCAAATCCTCTCTACCTTTTTCATGATATAGGAGTTCCAAGCAAAGGTTGCGATTTTTTTTTTTTTGAGAGATTTTTGCTATAGGGCGTGTGCACTCATCAGGAAGACAGAGAGACAGAAAGCGAGAAATCACCCCCTGGGAGGGATGGACATGCCATAATCCCTTCTCCTCCATTCTCCTCAGGATCTTGGGCACGCACGCACACACACCCGTATGAGTTTAAGCCACTGGGTCTAGGACTTGAACCACGGTCAACTACAGGGCAGTTTAGCAACATAGCCATTACGCTAACTGCTGGTCCCGGGGTTTTCAAAAACAGTTTTCTCATAAGGGATGAAGCACTAACCTGAAGTAACAGATCAGTGCCTGCCCAAAGGGAGTGTGAAGGTGGCAATGTGGAGAGGGACATGGGAGAATTCTAAAGGGGTAAAGGAAACTTAGGAGGTAGTGGATGTTTGTTATCTTAAGTGTCATGATGGTCTCTGTGATAAGTGTAAATATCTTAAAACTAACCAAAATCTGTGTATTTAAAATGTATGCAGTTTACTATGTATCAGTAACACCTAAATAAAGTTACTAAGTTGAGTTTTCAAAATAAAATGATTTTAGGGACCAGCAGATGGCATAATGGTTGCGTTACTGAATTTCCACACAGTTGACCATGGTTCAAGTCTCAGACCCAGCAGCTTAAAACTCACACTGGAGAGGAGGTCAGCAGGTGGCGTGGTGGCTAAGGCACTGGGCTCCCACATGGCAAACTGCAGTTTGAATCCCAGACCTGGTGGCTTACTTTTTCACTTTCCTTCTCTCTCTGTCTCTGATCGAATTTTTTAAAAAATACATTAATAATAGGGAACCAGCAGTTAGCGTAATGGCTATGTCGCTGGACTCCCACGTAGTCGACCGCGGTTCGTGTCCCAGACCTGGTGGCTTAAAACTCACGCTGGGCGCATGTGCGTGCGTGCCCAAGATCCCGAGAGGAGAATGGAGGAGAAGGGATTGCAGTGTGACCATTCCCCCTGGGGGGTGATTTCTCGCTTTCTGTCTCTATGTCTCTCTCTGTCTGTCTGGCGAGTGCACACGCCCTACAGTGAAAAATCTCTCTCAAAAAAAATACATTAATAATAAATAAAATTAAAATAAATAATTCTTAAAAAAAAAAATACCTCACACTGGGCATGTGTGCATGCATGTCCAAAATCCTAAGAGGAGAATGGAGCAGAAGGGACTGCAGTGTGGCCATTCCCCCAGGGGGTAATTTCTTGCTTTCTGTCCCTCTGTCTCTGTCTCTCTAGTAAATACACATAGTTAAAAAAAAAAAAAAATCTCTGTAATAAAATAAGATTGTTCTGCTGAATAGCTTTCTGTTTCTGTGAAAGCTACCAAGATATTTCCTTGACTTTCAAGCTCTGGGTGGAACTCAGTAGGACTTTTCCCCAAATTTATGAGGGCACATGACTTCTTTCAGAAATATGATATACTCAACTTGGATGCAGAGTAAAATTTCAGTGAGCCAACCAAAAGGTTTGCAAAAAAAGATTCCTATCTAATGCCCACTTCCTCTTGTACATCATACTAAAAATATACAGGTACACTAAGACTCCTTAAAATCGTATACCTTAAATCACACAATGTTCCTTTGGGATCCAAGCTCTTCAATTTGCCACTGTCAGTTCCCGCCCACTCTTTCACCCCCATCTCACTGGCATTCTCTGGATCCACAGGCCTCCCTATTCTCTCTCTTTCACAAATGTCAACAAAGGGCTGCTAACCAGCTCTCCACTGAGCTGAGATATGAGCTCCAAAAGGCAGAAAGGCCCACAGATACCTTCCTATTTCCTGTGAAAGAGAGGCCATATTTCTAGGCTACACGAGGGTGCCAAAAGACTAGAGGAGAGAACCTTTTGTCGTCTTTTCCTCTTATTTGCCAAAAAATGGATAGCTGATGGAAAGAAGTAAAATGAAGACAGCTTACCCATGGAGTAGAGGTTGTCAAAGCTCTGGTGCATGCGGATAATCTCATAGTAAAGCTCATCATAGCTGCTGGGGGTTGGCAGGAATGTGTCGCCATATGTGATAAACATATTAAATAGGTTCACGATCTAAAAAAAGAAACGAACGCCCACAGATAGGCATCAAGCTCTGAAGATCAGAAAGGCCGTATCGGTCATATTCTACAGCCAGCTCTCACTGGCTTGCAAGAGGTAATTGTTAAATTTTCAGGAATTTTGTCAGGAAGTTGTTAAACAGAGCCATTATTAAAAATATTTAAAAGCTCATATAAACATACAATTAAATAAATTATATTAAACCGAAGGTAATAAATACTCAAAACTTACCGCTTCATAGTTATCTGTTAACCGTTTACTATTATCTATGCTTTTCAGATTAATTTGCACCTCTCTTCTCAATGGTGCAGGACTCTGATGTCATGTCAGTAGCTTCGAAATGGCCATGGTGGGTGTCATTATACAGTAGAAATCAGCAAATGCTACAAACAAGTACTTCCCCCCCACCAAACGCCGAACATTTATAAACACACTAGATAATATCCCAGTAGTCAAAGGGCACAACGGCCTCCCTCAAATCCAAATAACCTGCCAGGTGAGCAGGCATCTGTAATGTGCCTCGGAAGCCAGCACAGCCACGACGTAACACTGGTCTGGCCAGGGTACCTCCAGAGGCCTTGCTGTCTACCAGCACAGAGACTGGGAGCACGATGCAACCCTCAGCTGGGACCAAGGATAACTACTCGTACAGAGATCTGACGGGAGCCCAGCCCTCATCACAGTCTCATGAAGGAAAAGAGTGTCGGGCTCACCAAAGATATAGGTGGGAATGGGAAGTACTGTCTAGAGGTTCTGCTCTAAGAGGAAAATATAGGCCCAGTTCCTTCTATGGTTTAGTTCCCAACAGCTCTTCTGTCAAATCAGTCCATTTCTACCTTAGCATATGACTTCAGAAAAAGAAATATTTATTTTGTTACTCACCATAAGGGCTAATGTAAAAATGTTGTGTTTGGCCAAAAGTACAGTCTCGTTTGACATAAGGAACTTCAGCAAATTTATCAAGGCTTAAAAAAAAAAAAAAAAAAAAAGACATCAATAAGCTAGTCAAACCATAATCAATAAAATTAAACGAAAGCAGACTACTCTACAGAAATCCACATGGCTAAAACGAGCAAGCCTCAGCTACCGCGATCTCTTAAAAAGCAGCGAAGAGGCCGACACTGGTATCAAGTAATGAGCTGCTCACGAAAAGACAATCCTCCATGAGGTCAGAGCCCACAGGAGAGGCCAGAGCCCACAGGAGAGGCTGGAGCCCATAGGAGAGGCCGGAGCCCACAGGAGAGGCCGGATCCCACAGAGAGGCCAGATCCCACAGGAGAGGCCAGATCCCACAGAGAGGCCAGATCCCACAGGAAAGGCCGGATCCCACAGAGAGCCTGGAGCCCACAGGAGAGGCTGGATCCCACAGGAGAGAGGCCGCATCCCACAGGAGAGGCTGGATCCCACAGGAGAAGCCTGATCTCACAGGAAAGGCCAGATCTCACAAGAGAGGCCCGATCCCACAGAAGCTGGATCCAACAGGAGAGGTCAGATTCCACAAGAAAAGCCAGATCCCACAGGAGAGGCCAGATCCCACAGGAGAGGCGGATCCTACAGAGAGGCCAGATCCCACAGGAGAGGTGGATCCTACAGAGAGGCAAGATCCCACATGGCAGCAGTGGTTTAAATGCCCCCAGTCAGCCTGAAACACACCAGGCACATGTGAAAGTACCCAAGACATGATGACTAGGGAAATGGAGGAAGTGGATTGTGATGTGAGCAGACCCTGTGGAAGGTGCTTCTCTCTTGCTCTCTGTCTTTCTATCCCCTCTCCCTCTTACATGGATGTGCATACACTCTTCTCATTAATTTTAAAAAAGAAAGAAAGAAAAAGAGAAAGAAAGAGAGTGAAAGAGAGGCCATATTTCTAGGCTACACGAGGGTGCCAAAAGACTAGAGGAGAGAACCTTTTGTCATCTTTTCCTCTTATTTGCCAAAAAATGGATAGCTGATGGAAAGAAGTAAAATGAAGACAGCTTACCCATGGAGTAGAGGTTGTCAAAGCTCTGGTGCATGCGGATAATCTCATAGTAAAGCTCATCATAGCTGCTGGGGGTTGGCAGGAATGTGTCGCCATATGTGATAAACATATTAAATAGGTTCACGATCTAAAAAAAGAAACGAACGCCCACAGATAGGCATCAAGCTCTGAAGATCAGAAAGGCCGTATCGGTCATATTCTACAGCCAGCTCTCACTGGCTTGCAAGAGGTAATTGTTAAATTTTCAGGAATTTTGTCAGGAAGTTGTTAAACAGAGCCATTATTAAAAATATTTAAAAGCTCATATAAACATACAATTAAATAAATTATATTAAACCGAAGGTAATAAATACTCAAAACTTACCGCTTCATAGTTATCTGTTAACCGTTTACTATTATCTATGCTTTTCAGATTAATTTGCACCTCTCTTCTCAATGGTGCAGGACTCTGATGTCATGTCAGTAGCTTCGAAATGGCCATGGTGGGTGTCATTATACAGTAGAAATCAGCAAATGCTACAAACAAGTACTTCCCCCCCACCAAACGCCGAACATTTATAAACACACTAGATAATATCCCAGTAGTCAAAGGGCACAACGGCCTCCCTCAAATCCAAATAACCTGCCAGGTGAGCAGGCATCTGTAATGTGCCTCGGAAGCCAGCACAGCCACGACGGAACACTGGTCTGGCCAGGGTACCTCCAGAGGCCTTGCCGTCTACCAGCACAGAGACTGGGAGCACGATGCAACCCTCAGCTGGGACCAAGGATAACTACTCGTACAGAGATCTGACGGGAGCCCAGCCCTCATCACATAGTCTCATGAAGGAAAAGAGTTTCGGGCTCACCAAAGATATAGGTGGGAATGGGAAGTACTGTCTAGAGGTTCTGCTCTAAGAGGAAAATATAGGCCCAGTTCCTTCTATGGCTTAGTTCCCAACAGCTCTTCTGTCAAATCAGTCCATTTCTACCTTAGCATATGACTTCAGAAAAAGAAATATTTATTTTGTTACTCACCATAAGGGCTAATGTAAAAATGTTGTGTTTGGCCAAAAGTACAGTCTCGTTTGACATAAGGAACTTCAGCAAATTTATCAAGGCTTAAAAAAAAAAAAAAAAAAAGACATCAATAAGCTAGTCAAACCATAATCAATAAAATTAAACGAAAGCAGACTACTCTACAGAAATCCACATGGCTAAAACGAGCAAGCCTCAGCTACCGCGATCTCTTAAAAAGCAGCGAAGAGGCCGACACTGGTATCAAGTAATGAGCTGCTCACGAAAAGACAATCCTCCATGAGGTCAGAGCCCACAGGAGAGGCCAGAGCCCACAGGAGAGGCTGGAGCCCATAGGAGAGGCCGGAGCCCACAGGAGAGGCCGGATCCCACAGAGAGGCCAGATCCCACAGGAGAGGCCGGACCCCACAAGAGGGCCGAACCCCGAGGCCAGATCCCACAGGAGAGGCCAGATCCCACAGAGAGGCCAGATCCCACAGGAAAGGCCGGATCCCACAGAGAGGCCGGATCCCACAGGAGAGGCTGGATCCCACAGGAGAAGCCTGATCTCACAGGAAAGGCCAGATCTCACAAGAGAGGCCCGATCCCACAGAAGCTGGATCCCACAGGAGAGGTCAGATTCCACAAGAAAAGCCAGATCCCACAGGAGAGGCCAGATCCCACAGGAGAGGCGGATCCTACAGAGAGGCCAGATCCCACAGGAGAGGTGGATCCTACAGAGAGGCAAGATCCCACATGGCAGCAGTGGTTTAAATGCCCCCAGTCAGCCTGAAACACACCAGGCACATGTGAAAGTACCCAAGACATGATGACTAGGGAAATGGAGGAAGTGGATTGTGATGTGAGCAGACCCTGTGGAAGGTGCTTCTCTCTTGCTCTCTGCCTTTCTATCCCCTCTCCCTCTTACATGGATGTGCATACACTCTTCTCATTAATTTTAAAAAAGAAAGAAAGAAAAAGAGAAAGAAAGAGAGGCAAGGTGGATATATCTAAGAAAAATACTAATTTTCCCAAGCTTATCTGTCTATGGAAGGTTTTTTTTAAATATTTGCCTCTTTTTTGCTACTTCTTAAATAGCAATTAAGCTCAGAAATTTGACTGCAAAACTGACATCTTTGTGTTCCAAATGTATTCCACACGGTGGTGATTCCCCCATTAAATGTGTTTAATTTACAGAGCAAAATGAGGGTTCTTCCTTCTCTCCTAGGTTGCCGGCCTCCATTGCCATCGGACTTCAGGAATATATCTGTTTTAAACACTGCTGCTAAGAGAGGCGTCTATCAATTCTAACTAGACACCAGATGTGGCAGATCCGCTGCAGAACTTACAGCTGGTTTCAGCTCTTGGTGGGAAGCGAGCTCATGAAGAGAAAAAGGCCATTAACTGTTCTGGCTGTTCAAACAAAAATGCAGCTTGCTCTGTACTCTCCTGACAACGTTTACTGAAAAGATTTCTTCACTACCTGGAAATCCTCAGTGAGGATTAAAAGTTCAAGCAATCTCAGTAAAGGAACTGACAGCCAAGTTGTGGGTTAACAGTGTGGTTTTAAAGACATTTTTGAAAAGAAATATTATGTATAAAAGAAATCATCGATTGCCTTGTGTACACTGACTGAGGATGCCTGTCCATGAAATGAATCTTGCTTCCCATCCATCCTGAATACACCCCTATACCTAGCCCCTCTACTTGGTGGGAAACTATACAGAAGGGGTAAGCAGCTACAAGTATCTGCAGTCCTCTTTCTTCTCCTCTTCACACCTTCCCTCTCCCACAGACCCAAAAATGGATTGACCTCTCCTGACTTTTTCCTTTTTTAAGTTTATTTCATGAGAGAGACAGAGAGAGACAAGCACTTCCAACAGAATCTCACAGTGTGACTCCCCCACTCTCCTAGCCTTCCCGGCCAGCCGGGATCACAGGCACATGCACCCAGCGGGCACAGGTCTACCAGGAAACTGAACCTGGGTCTCCCGTGTAGACCCGGCTGCACTCGTTACTGCTGCACCACTGAGCCAGCCCTTGCCCTCTCCTTTTTGAAGCCCATATCTGCTTCTTTGCCAGCAAAGCTCATTCTTCCTGCTGTCTGAGCTTTGTGTGAAGTTGATTACTCTTAGAGATGTGAGCTTTGACTTGGAACAGCAGGGAGTGGCAAGTAGGAGCAAGACTCTCCAGACACTCGCTGCCTGACTCGCAACACCCTTTCCTCTCACTCCGCTAATGCACAAGGGCAGTAAAGAAACAGGAGACAAGAAAATACGAGCGCCTGGATTCGCCTGCATTCTGTTCCTAAAGCCTGCATCTGCCCCTCAGATAGTGAGAAAGCCTTCTATGAATGAGGGAGGTAGGCATCCTCATTGAGGAACCCTTTATCTTTGTCCTGATTTAAAGTTCACTGGGGTTTCAGAATGGAAAGGCAAGAAATGACAGGCAGGTGGCCCGTCTGATGGTGCCTATTTACAAGTGATCTGCTGGACTGAACCAATAAAAAAAAAAGCTGCAGGGGAGCCCATTCTGGATCATACAACCTGCTCAGTTCCTGCCCGCAGCTAAGGGAATGAAGGGTCTAAGTAAAATCCACATAAAAGCAACTAACCCCAGTCAAGATTACCTTGCAGAGCTATTCAGGGGCTCCCACCTCACCCCTTCACCCCAGGCTCAGACAGACCCTGATAACAGATGAACCGCCTAACAATCAGACTCCATAAAATCGAGGGAGACAAAGGCATGAGAAGCACGTATGGCACTCTGCAAAACACGACGACGGCAGAGACAAAGCGGCTTCCGCACAGAGCCAGTCACCAAGGGCTTTGTGGCCAGCACGCGCAGCACGAAGATGCAGCCTCAGCAGCGGCTATGCGGTAATTAAGGGCAGGAAATCTGGGTAAAGGAAGCAGCAATGATTTACTGCTCCTCTGCTGGACTATAGCTAGCCTCGATCTCTGGGAGTCAGAGTCATGGGTGACAGTGATAAATATGGGGGGAGGAAGAGCACAATGTTGGCAGAGGCCAAGAGGCAACCTGTGTCCCAACTGCCACAGACATCAGCAGGGCCAAACAGTACAAGTCCAGCACTGCAGAGCTCCGAGTTAATATCCAGAGAACCGGTATCCTGCCTCTGAAATTCAAGTCATGTGTCACTATCCCACTTCCCCCCAAAAGCTAGAGTTTTCTCACCTGGATATAGTCATTTTCTAGAGCTTAATAGGCAGCTTAAACTTGGCCCCAAAAGCCTCTGACATCCTAGATCATAACTCATAATTCCTCTTCAAGAAAGAAGGCCGCTGGGCCACCCCCATGGCCTTGAGGTTAAGGGAGCCAGATCCCACTGGTAGACTGCAATTTGAATCCCGGCCCTGGAGACTTGAAAAATAAGCCAGACACACGCACATGCATGTCAGAAATCCAGGCACAAGGAAGAAATGGAGGAGAAGGAATTGCAGCTGACCATGCCCCACTGTGAGGTGCTTTCATATTCCTCTACCCCTTCTCTCTCTGGCAAGCACATGTGCCCTCTGACCAAAAAAAAAAAAAAAAAAAAAGGAGGAAGGCAGGGGGGGGCAAGGCCGCCTGCCCTCACTCTACATGAACCATTCAGGGTCCTACATACTATCACACACATGATTCTCTCCTAGTCTCTGACCCGACGGTGGGAGCTGTACTCTGCAAGGCTCTGATATAGCTCACTACAGATTTTTAGAGCTAGGGGACCAGCAGTTAGCATAATGGTTATGTCGCTGGACTCCCAAGTAGTCGACCATGGTTTGAGTCCCGGACCCAGTGGTTTAAACTCACGCCGGGTGCGTGTGTGTGCGTGCCCAAGATCCCGAGAGGAGAATGGAGGAGAAGGGATTGCGGCGTGGCCATCCCCCCTGGGGGGTGATTTCTCGCTTTCTGTCTCTCTCTCTCTGTCTGTCTGGAGAGTGCACGGGCCCTGTGGCAAAAACCTCTCCAAAAAAAAAAGAGAGAGTTTTAGAGCTAGGAAGGACCTGAGGGGTCATTTAACCCAATTTCCTCTTTTTAGGGTAAGCAACCTCCCAGCTAGCGAGTGACTAAGCTGGAACTAGAAACGAGTCTCTGGTTTCGTATTCTCCCGACCGCAGCATTAATATAGGATACACAAAGGTCCCAGATCGTGTTGAGTGTTAGGGGAAAACAGCTTACTATAAGCTGTGCTTAGACTTGCTGACTACACTGCCACCAACGTCTCTAGACTGGTTTATAACTTTTCCGCCTACTGACTGCTCCAGGTTATTCCACACATCCAGTCCCCCTTTTTTCTTGGTCCTTAGCTACTTGTTAAAAAAGAGGTGCTTAGAACCTCATTCTTACCTTCCCACTAGGCACTGTAAATGCTGAGGCCTCTCAGCAGCTTAGCCCAGCACAAGTCACATAGCAGGGCCCCCGCCCAGTTCCTCGCCTCTCCGTCTGTGCTCCCCTCCCCTTGACAGCTCACCTCCCAACTCCTCTCTTCCCTTTCTTTCTTTGCCTTTCCTTCCTTTCTGTACCACATACTTTCTCTGAGTACCTGTCAATGAAAACTGTTCCTGATTCCCTCACTCAGGGTTGCTATCTTCAAAATTATGTATTACACATGGAATGTGATTCGATATGGCCTTTTTTTTATTTTATGAGAAATTTTTGCTATAGGGCCCATGCACTCACCGGAGAGAGAGAGAGAGAAAGAAAGTGAGAAATCACCCCTAACGGAAGGACTGGCCATACCACAATCCCTTCTCCTCTATTCTCCTCTCAGGATTTTGGGCACGCACACATACGCAACCAGCAAGAGTTTTAAGCTGCCAGTTCAGGACTGGAATCACAGTGGACTACATGGGAGTCCAGCAACCTAACCATTATGCCATCTGCTAGTCCCTGGATATAGACTTTAAAGGGAGCCAAGATCCCCTCTTGTTATGCAAAACCAGAGTCAATAAAATAAAATTTAAAAAGCCATAGGTATAAACAATTAATAATGAGATTTATTTACAAGCTATTTTGGTATACAGCTTTTGCACAGGGTTTAAGACAGAAGGCCAACAAAGAGAATACCCTGTGTGAGGGACAGTTTTAAGGACAGCAGAGA